AAACAACATTTTAAACCATAATTTATCATTTTAATGTTAAGTTTATTATAAAAAATCGCTCAAAAATGTATCAAATAACTTCAACAAAATGATGATGCAGCGTAAAAACAGAACAATAGATTAGAATTCTAACAGTTAGACCTCTTGGTAATTACCCAGCAAATAATTTGCGTAATTTTCTTACTTAATATTTACAGATGCAATGGTCCTAAGAAGAAAAGATAATCTGCTATGCGTTGAGGACATTTGAACTCTAAATACTAACATTGATTTTGGGAGACATTTATGGATTAAATTTTTCTTCAGAGACAATTCGTCTTTATATTCAAGTGGTTCTGCCCTAAGTGACCGTTCCATACAACTCGAACAGGCCGATGGGATTCAGTCAAGGATGACCACAACCGCTTAGTAGAGACCACCGCTGAAAAGCGATGAAAAAGAAAATGCATAAGAGGAAAAAAATTCGCGAATTTTTACAACCGACCGCTTAATACAGGTTCGACTATTCATTCCGAATGAGCCAATGAGCTGACGTGAAGAGCTCTATTCACCAATGTGGTATATACTAAAAACTGCTACGTGTGTAAATGTTTCTTTTCAAGCTAGAGTTGGAAAGTCGATTCCCGGGTTGATACACGCGCAGGCGATAAACACCAAACCAACAGCCCACGCAAAAAGCACTATTCACCTGTGTGTTATATTCTCAAAACTGCTGTAAGATGGGTAGATGGAGTAGGGCTATGGAGCACGAAGAGAAAGTCTAAGCAGACGAAAGAAGCCTATTAAGTCCAGCAATTCTTTAGGAAAATTCTTATCTTTACCTTCTAAAATCGTAGCTCTACGATTCTTGAGAACCCCACCCGTGATGCTACCCTTGAAAACACGTAGCTATTCACACTCCCATCCCGGGTGGATAAACGGAACCTCGAACCACCCCTTCCCCCTTCCCATGGCTCTTTCGTAAATGATTGTAACATATGCCATGGTCAGTAGAGAACTCCTGCTAAAACATCTACGTTGTCGCAGTTTTTTAGATCTGGGGTGAAGTCAGAATATCAGGGCTTATCGACTTTTCGGATCTAGTAAAAGGTCTTTAAAGGGGGAAGGAAATTTATCCTTGCTCGCCTTGACGTCGGTGAATATCTCGCGTTAGCTTCATTAAGCATCTCAAATTAAACGTAACAGGAATGCATAGCGACAACGCTCTCCCCATGCCCGTCTCTCCCAGGTTGATCCTTATTTCCAGGATTTTTCCACGGCTTGTTTTTCCCGGTTTTCCTTACCCCTCAAAAACCAGCACTCTAAATTCGAGTTGCAAATGCCACCTTCCAAAAACGTTTTTATTTCACATCTTCCATGTCACCCAGTCGAGGGTCTCAATGGGATTAACCGTTAGCCGTACTGTATATCGGTCAAAAAACTAGCTGTTAGGCGTAAAAATTGAACAATTTTAACCCTCAGTTGTATAAAAAATTAACCTTAAAAATCTTTCCTTCCTACAATGTGTTATTTTGTGTTATTCTGGGTTAACCGCAGCAGAAACATGGCCACAATTTTAACCGTTAGTTGTAAAAAGTTCTCCTCGGTCGGCCCTCCTCAGTTTGAACAGGCTGTTTTAGTTAAGTTTGCAACCGTGGAAAAAAAAGTCATAAATATTGTCTTCACTCGTGGAACTGTACCGAACTAGGGTACCTCCTATGATGAGGACGCTTTCGATAAACAGATTAAAGCACCATC